GCTTGTAGGTTGCTTGTGTTCGAAATGTGTTGGATTCAATTGTTCCTGCTCTACTGGCTGATAAGAATCGCAGATTCATTTATGTTGAACAGGTAAAATTTGGTCTCTTTTTTCCTAATTGATTCGTGGAAGTTGTTACCTTTTTTGTTGATTGGAATGAAAAATTAGGTATGAACAATCTTTTGCGTTGAATGACAGTTACTTTCTGATGAATGCAGGCGTTTTTTCAACGATGGTGGAACGAACAAAGTGAAGAAATCAAGGGTATTGTGAAGGAACTTATACGCTCAGGCCAACTAGAGCACATGTATGGTTTTATCAAACTCTATCTATATCAAACTTGTCCTTGTCTCTTCATAGTAATAATTGCCTCCTTCTGCAGAAATGGTGGTATGTGTATGCATGATGAAGCAGCACCGCATTATATAGACATGATTGATCAGACAACTCTCGGGCATCGATTCATTGTTAGAGAGTTCAATGTGACTCCGAGAATTGGTTGGCAGATTGATCCTTTTGGACATTCTGCAGTGCAGGCTTACTTGCTCGGCGCAGAAGTAAGATCCTCTAATGCCTGCATTTAAGTTTTATGTATATTCCGTAACTTAGAGGCGTGAAGGTATTCATTCGTTTACTGATTTACGTAGGTTGGGTTCGACTCAGTCTTTTTTGGTCGGATAGATTACCAAGATAGGGAGAAGCGTAAAATAGAGAAGAGTCTTGAAGTTATCTGGCGGGGCTCTAAGAGTCTCGGTTCTTCTTCACAGGTAAAAAACAAAGCAAGAAAATTTGTATGTGGTAGCTATTATTCTGGATTTTCACTGGATTTTCATTTTCTTTTGCTAATATTGATTTGACAACTTGATACAGATTTTTGCCGGTGCTTTCCCTAAGAACTACGAACCTCCACCTGGTGGCTTCTACTATGAAATCACCGATGATTCCCCCGTTGTCCAAGTATTTTTCTTGGCTGTTGATTACCATTTCTGTTGTATCTATTCTATTCCTATGATTAGTTTGGCTCTTAATACGTGAAGGATAATCCCGACCTGTTTGATTACAATGTTCAAGAGCGAGTGAATGCCTTTGTAGCTGCAGCTTTGGATCAGGTAGGTTTGTAGAATGTTTCTTTTTTGGGTAGAGTTGTCTTTTTACATTTATGTGACTTGTTTCTCGGTATCTGCAGGCCAACATTACTCGAACAAATCACATCATGTTTACCATGGGAACAGATTTCAGGTACCAGTATGCACACACCTGGTTTCGACAAATGGACAAGCTTCTTCATTATGTTAACCTCGTAAGTCATTTAAAGATCTATCTAAATTATTATGTTCCTCTTTATGTCTCCAGATACTTGTCTTTGTGGATTTATTGTTAACTAGATGGATACCAACAAACGAGATATCTCTAATTCGTGGACCCTTAATTATTTTAGGATGGGCGTATCAATGCTCTCTACTCTACTCCTTCGATATATACAGATGCTAAACACGCGGCGAATGAGGCTTGGCCCCTGAAAACCGAGGACTATTTCCCGTGAGTTGGGTCTTAAATTTTCTAACTCCATGATCCAGGTTTTGCTTAGAAATTAAACCAATATTCACTTCAGTTATGCAGACCGTATAAATGCTTATTGGACTGGATACTTTACAAGTAGGCCAGCACTTAAACGTTATGTCAGAGTGATGAGTGGCTACTACTTGGTATTTGTTCTTCCAAGTTTCAAATAATACCCTTGAAGTTGTGTTTTTTTAATTCATGTGTGTAACTTGAGAGTTTAGGCGGCAAGGCAACTTGAGTTTTTCAAAGGGAGAAGTGGGAAGGGTCCGAATACAGATTCGTTAGCAGATGCCCTAGCAATTGCTCAACATCATGACGCTGTTTCTGGTACATCGAAACAGCATGTGGCTAATGATTATGCCAAAAGACTAGCAATAGGCTATGTGGAGGTAATTTGCCAAATTGCTCTGTCAATTGTGGTTCTCTAGTGGCCTGTTTGCTCTATTTTCACTGCAATAAGATCTCCTGACCTTGCAGGCTGAGAGTGTGGTTTCATCTTCTCTTGCTCATCTGACTAAAGTAGATCCTGCCCTGAATCCAACATTCCAACAGGCAAGTAATCTCCTCGCTTAAACGTATTTCTCAGAAGAATCTAGTCAATGTATTGTGAAGGCTTACATTTCATCCGTTTAATAGCTTGGCCTTCCTTCTTTCAGTGTTTGTTGCTGAACGTAAGTTACTGCCCCGCAAGCGAAATCAACTTATCCAACGGGAAAAGTTTGGTAAGCATAAAATTATTGTTCTTCTGGGTTTTCAGCTCATCTATTATAGCTATCTGTGCCTCTTTCCTGAGACTTACACTTCTTTTTCTTCTCTGTAGATCGTGTTGGCTTATAACTCACTTGGATGGAAGCGAGTGGACATTGTCCGGCTTCCGGTGAGTCAATTAAGTTCTTGTTAGTTAAAATCACTATTTTGTGTTACCAAGTATATGACGGATCTTTGATAGGTTGTGAGTGGAGACATTGCGGTGCATGACTCGGAGGGACACGAAGTTGAATCTCAACTCGTTCCATTTACAGATGAATATGCAGCCTTAAGGAACTATCATGTAGAGGCATACTTAGGTCATAGCCCCACACAGGTGCCAAAGTATTGGCTCGTGTTTTCGGCATCTGTGCCTCCTCTTGGCTTCACTACTTACACTATCTCCACTGCTAAGAAAACAGGTACAATGGTGCAGACATATCTATTTGGTCTAATGGAACAAGCTTTTGACCTTGGTGTCTATCACTTTTTTCCAAATTTAGGTGGCTATTCTAGCAAATCATATGTCTCCAGATACCAAAAAGGTCAACAATCAACTATTGAGGTTGGTCATGGACATCTGAAGCTTAGTTTATCCTCTGGTCAAGGGACAGTGATCAACTATTTTAACAGCAGAACCTCGGTATGTCGTTATTATTAAAACAGTACCCTGAAGTTATCCTTAAAGTTTTGCTTATAAATCTCCTGTTTTTTTGCCTTTTTGGTAAAGATCACAGAACCAGTCAAACAGACATTTAGCTACTACTCTGGATACAATGGAACAAATGACAAAGAACCTCAGGTAAGAGGAGATCTTTTTTCTATCTTTTTTTTCTGTATTTTCTACACTTTCCTTTCAATGCCTAAAGTTCAGTACTCTTACCCCCAAGTTTCCCCGGTCTTCTTGTCTGGTTTGCCACTAGAACTCGGGTGCCTATGTTTTCCGTCCAAATGGCTCATTCCCCCTCAATCCGGAAGGACAGGTTTATACTCACTTGTGAAAAATATTGATCTTCAAGAAGAATCATAGAAAAGAAATTCAATGTTAGTCACTGTCTCGCATATTTCAGGTTCCTTTGACTGTTATACGTGGGCCACTGGTGGATGAAGTTCATCAACAGATCAATCCATGGATATCTCAGGTACCTACGTTGTCAGTGTGTTCATTTACAGACTCTAGGAATCTACCTTAAGTTTAAACAGTTCCGTGGCTTCTTAATCTCTCTGTTTGAACTTGCAGAAGTGCAGACTGTAGATTCTTATACTGTATGACATTGTAATTGTGTGCAGGTCACTAGAGTCTACAAGGGCAAAGAGCATGTGGAAGTTGAATTTATTGTGAGGCTGATGCATTAAATTATTCCAGTACTGCTTTTCATGTCTTATATTCCATTGTAAAGGCTTTAGGATTATATGGGTATGTAGGTTGGTAATATACCGATTGAAGATGGAGTTGGCAAAGATATCGTAACACAGATCTCAAGTTCCCTTAAAAGCAATAAAACTTTCTACACAGATTCAAGTGGACGTGATTATATCAAAAGGGTATGACGTCTATTTGATCTTCTAACACCTTTTATCTCATCAGTTTAAGGATATGTTTCCTTCTATTCTAGACTATACTAAAACCTTGTTTCGCAGATCCGTGATTATAGGTCAGACTGGAAACTAGAAGTCAACCAACCTGTTGCAGGAAACTATTACCCGGTATGTGAGAAACTGACAGTGATCAAGTACGAAATCGGTTGGTAGTTTACAGTTCTCTGAAAATGATCATGAATTGAGTTTGACCTAATCAGTTGGGATTCCATGTTTTGCTCAGATAAATCATGGAATTTACCTGCAAGACAGTAAGAAGGAATTCTCCGTGTTGGTAGACCGAGCCTTTGGAGGGTCGAGCATAGTGGACGGACAAGTTGAGCTTATGCTTCATAGGTATTGAGCATAATCAATATCAAAATTTCTCTTAGCCTTGTCTCTCTCTCTCTGCCTCTAATCAAACTATCATCTTAATTACAGGAGACTGCTCCTTGATGACTCCAGAGGTGTAGCTGAGGCTCTAAACGAGACAGTATGTGTTAAAGACAAGTGTACTGGATTAACTGTAAGTACAGATAAGCTAACTATGTTCAAGGGAAAAGCTATTCACTTCAAATACACTCTGTTTCTCCTGGTCTAAGGTGCAACTTGTGACAATTATTACAGATCCAAGGAAAATATTACTATAGAATGGATCCATATGGAGAAGCTGCAAAATGGCGAAGAACTTTCGGACAAGAGATCTACTCACCGCTCCTTTTGGCTTTTGCTCAACAGGTGAAACAAGAGTAAAATGGAAAATTAGCATGCTTCTCTCTAGCTGTTCCAAACCATTTTACACAACGGAAGTTAAAATGTTTCAGGATGATGGAAAGCCGATGAGTTTTGGTGCAGCATCATTCTCTGGGATTGATTCATCCTACAGTTTGCCTGACAATGTGGCACTTTTGACTCTCCAGGTGCTTCTTTTGCAGACTCGAAAGTTATAGACATAGTTTGGTTGAATTGAGTTGATAACTTGTTCACCATTTGTTGGTTGAATTTCAGGAACTGGATGATGGGAATGTGCTCCTGCGTCTAGCTCATCTCTATGAGGTATTAAATGATATCCATTATTTCTGTGGGTTTGGAAGTAGAATGAAGCATTTGAGGTTGTGTAATTAGGTGGGAGAGGACAAGGAACTTTCAGGAGTGGCAATCGTGGAACTGAAGAAGCTTTTCCCTGGAAAAAAGGTAGAAGCTTTTTTAGAAAGATAGCGATTTTGAGGTGGAAGATGATGAGAAAATGTGTGTTGCAGATAGGGAAGCTGACGGAGATGAGCCTGTCAGCAAATCAAGAAAGAAGCGCGATGGAGAAGAAGAGGTTGGTGTGGAAAGTAGAAGGTGAAGGATCTAATGGAGAAGAGAAGAAGGCGAAGAGAGGGAGAGGAATCGATCCAAGAAAGCTGGAGATGGAGCTTTACCCGATGGAGATTAGGACGGTGTTGATACGCTTAGAGCATCCATCTTCTCACTTCAACAAATACAGATTCGATGCTTGAGGCCTGAGGCCTGAGCAAGCCTAAATAAGGAATAAGGAAGTTTCAAGGGTAAAGTCTCTTAGTTCCTTTCTCTTGTGTGTTGTTTCCAGACGCTGACTACTTAATAAAAGGTGAGTGAGTCTTGCATTCAATTTACATCATTCCCAGCATCCAACTTACCATTAGTATACTACCAACAAAGATAAAATTGATTTTTTATTGATAAAATCATGCAATTGGTTTTAATTAACATTTACACATGGCACGGAGCCACGATCGTTTGCTTGAAGATTTAGAGAATATGGGTTCATCCAAGTTGTGGCATTCAGACAAAAACAGTAGAAGAAGACATGAAAATTTGAGAAAATTAAGAAAAAGTGTTGTTGCAAAACAAATAAGAGAGAAACAAGCTACGTTCTTCGCCTGGCGGTGGCAGTGGAAGAGGAGGAGGTGTTACCGTCGAAGAGCTGGTCGATGAGATCCTCGATGTCCTCAGGCTGGTACTTGATGTACTTCTCTGTCTGGCGACCAGGATCCAAGTACTGTCCGAACCTCGCCATGAAGGCCCTGTAGGCAGGTATCATGACCGCGGTTATGGAGACCCTCAGCTCGCTCTGCAGCTGCTCGTCGTTGACCACCCACGTGGTCTGCGTCTTGTGTATCTCGTCGAAGGTTGCATTGAAACTCTTGAACCTCTCCTTGAGATTGGGCTTGACTATCTTGCCATTGTGCATGAGCCCCTCGTGGCCTAAGAACCCTAGCAGCTTCCCCCATGTCTCCCTCTGGTAGTTCTTGTGGTAGTTCCTTAGCTCTGATGACCGCCTCCTGCACCATGTGTCCCCCATCACCTCATGTATCTCCGCTGAGCCTTTGATCTTCTGTACTATGTATCTTCCGTTGTTCATCATGAAGATGCAACTCAGTGGTATGTCTTTGTACTGCTTCGACTTCGCCTCAAGGTTCCCATCAAGTAGCTCCATTATCCTCATCAGCTGGCTCGCAAAGGCAGAGTTCCCACTCTCCGCAGGCTCGTCTTCCTCTCGCTCCATCTTCGAGTGACTCTTGAAGACTTGTTCCAATGTGTCTTTGTACTCGCATGAGTACTTAAGGTAGTTCATGGTGTACCTAGTCAGGGGATGAACTGCACCTCCTGGCACGGGGGTCTTGCTCGAATCCGATTTGATGGAGTTCTCAAGATCCGAGAATATGTGAATGGCGGTCTCTCCTAGGCGAGCACGAGCACTGGTCACCTCGTTCCTCAGCTCGCTGCGCAGCTCCTCCGGGAACAGTTCTTCCATGGCAGGAAAACTGTCCCGGAGTGTCTCGTAGATGTCGAGGATCTTGAAGAGCTTCTCAGTGGAGCGTTTGGTCATGGCCACAGCCTCTGCGAAACCCAAGAACTGGATGGCTAGACCATGTGTAACAATGCAGAACAAGCTCCCTTGGTCTCCTGGGAAAATCTTCTCAGCGAGTTTGAGCTCCCCTGGGAAAAAGAGAGAAGAACAGTCCTTGAAAGTCTTATTCCAAATAGGTATCTCTCTCTCAAGTGTGTCCCAGCTCATCTTCTGCACCTCGTCGATGCTCACTTTCTCAAACTCACAGTCTTGTTTCAATGTACGCATCAAGATGTTTCTCCTCCCAACCAAATAAACCTCTCTGCATTCCCACCCGTACCCTCCTGCTTTCATCTTCTCCGCTATTTGCCTCAGCACCGCAACAACCTCCTCCGGGTAACCAGGGTACTCGATCTCCTGATCACCGCATTCCGGAACCATCATCTGGTCGTGATCTTGCGAGACCACCGCATCGTTCTGGTGGTCTTGCTGATCCGCCGTGCTCCTCCTCTGGCTGTTGCTTTCATCCCCGACCACCACAGGCTCTTTGATCACAGATTCTTCTAAAATGATGCGGAATTCGTCTTCCAAGAAAGCCATTGCTCGCTGCTGAATGGATCCAGCATGGTTGATCAAAGGCTCATGATGGTCCAAACAAGATTTGGTATTGAGCAATAGCCCCATAAGCTTTGAGACACGATCCACTGCCTCAAGAAGCGAAGACATCTCCTCTGGATCTTGGTACCATGTAGTCTTAGGCTCACCAGAGTCGTATTTAGTGAGTTTGTCTTCAAAGAGATCCAAGAATTTCCCAACAAACTGTGGGATCTGAAAGTAATCATCTTCTACCTTCTCCTCCTCGGTCGCTTCTTTGTTATTACTCTCCTCCTTGTGAAGGGAAAGACTCGAGAGAAGCTGATCGAGTTCTTCAGACAAAGACTCTAGAGTTTGATGAATCTCTGGTGCTTCTTCTCCTTGTGAAACCTCGACATTGTCTCCTGGATCAAGATCTGTCTCGGTGTTACCAACATTGTCGACATTCTCTTTACTGCTACCATCTTGATGTGCATCATCCGAAACATCATCCTTTTTTTCATCTCCTTTGGATTTGTCATCATCATGATGATCATGGTCCTTGTCATCGTTCTTCTCCATTGCTTATTTACGTATAAAAACTTTAAGAATGGTGAAGTGGAATTGGGATGGTGAGGAAGGAGAGATTCATGTGTGTGTTGGTGTTTTCGTTTAGACTTTAGGAAATTTGTGGGTTTGTGTGGTTAGAGATGTGATTAGAGGATGGTCGCAATTTTGGTGAATCGAAGAAGTAGGGGAGCCTTGTGTTTTGTGGTGCTTGACCGTTTGACTTTTTCTTTTCATCATCCAAACACCAATACCGTGTATTCTATTTTTAGCCCAAAAAGAAATTTTAAAAACCTCGTAATTATTTAATTTGTAATTTTGTTAACATTACATGAAATTAACTCAATGTTTAAAGGGAAGGGGATATGCATAATGCATTTATGAACAAAATGATTTGAATAAAAAAAAAAGCAAGGTAACGTGGGAGTATGCTGCGCACGAACCATCATCCTATACGTGCATGCATAAACCATCCCTCATTTCTTATTATTGAAACATTTTTTTTCTTGTAATCAAATTGTGCATTAATGAAAGTTAGTCATTCGTATGAATATCATTTTTTGTCATAAGATCTACAATATAAACACATGGACGGATACACATTCGGGTTTCCACACAAAGAAACATTAAATTCCTGGAGACGGAACCTTTCACGAAGGAAAGAGACGAAATCTAAAACAAGCTAAAGGTAAAAATATAAAGAGAAACATTCTCAAAAACGGAACATACAAAGGAAAGAAGATTAAACGAACACCACGCCTCAAAATTTATGGTAGATCCAAACAAATTGCAGCGGACAGACTAGATAAAGAAGCTAGTGATTCTTTTTTTTTTTTATCATGAATAGAAACTATTTCTTGCAAAAAGGTTTTCTAGGTTTCTAATCCGGGAAGAAAAAAAAAGAGTATGACTAAACATCAAATTCCCCGCAGTTCTTCCAAATAAACAATAATATTGAACA